TCCCGGGAGATCACTTGGAGAGCTCTTCTCACTACAATTCCCGGAATCCTCCTATCCCACCTGTCTTGTTTCCCTATTGGCCAACAGTGCTCTTTATTCAAACCAATCAGACACATATTTACAGAATAACGTCTCCCAACAATCTGTGGTGTATAAATACATGTGCTTTTGTGAACCTGGGCAAGAAGGGGTCCTTAGGTCTTAGGTTCCTCGGAACTGTAGTTAGAGGCATTTGTGGGATGCCCTGCTTACTTACCTTGGCATCAGAATCTGAATTCTGGCACTTACAGCACAGTCATCTAAGCTGCTGAGCCACTTTTCTATCCCCTTTCTTTGTATCTTAAATGTTTTGTTAAACTTTTTGTTTTGTTTTGTTTTTTTGAGTCAGGGTCTCAGTGTTTATCCTTGCTATCCTAGAGTTTGCTATGTAGATCATGCTGGCCTTGAACTCATAGAGTTCCACTTTTCTGCCTCTACAGTTCTGAGATTAAAGTCATTACTGCTCTCAGCTCATGCTTCTTTAAAGTATTTCATCCCATGTTCTTTTTTCTGTTGCCCTTTCTCCCTTCTCCCCCCAAAATGGTCGGTACTAAACTCAGAACCTAAGTGTTTCCATCAACCATGCATCTCTGTGTTCACTACTGTTGACTATAAAGAAATGCTTCTTTGATTAAGGATGAGACCTTACTTGGACCATGTTTCTGGGGCCATGGAAGTTGTAGTCTTACACATTATTAACTTTTATTTATTTCAATCTTACAGGAAATATTGTCAGTGGCTAAAAAATGTAAGGACAATGAGGTAAGATTGTAAATTTTATTACTGTGTGTCTCTGTGCATTATTAATGTGTGTGCATTCGATGGCAGGTGCATGTGTGGAGTTCAGAAGACAAAGTAGGCTTGCTGTCAGGCTCATTTACCTGCTATGCCAACTTGCTTGTCCCTTTGGCTTTTTTTTTTTTTTTTTTTTTTTTACATCCATTTAGTTATATGGATGTGTGGCATGCAGGTGTCAGGACAACTTGTAGGAATGGTTTCTCTATTATGTGAGTCCTAGGGTGAATAGAAAATGTTGAGCCATCTTGCTCCTCAACATTTTTTTCTCTGAGACAGGGTTTCTCTATGTAACAGCCCTAGCCTGGAATTCAGTAGACCAAGCTGACCTCCCTCGCCTCTGCCTCTAGAGTGCTGGGATTAAAGGTGTGCACCACCACTGCCCAGCTCCTCCTTATTATATTTAAACAGGAGTTAATGGCATCTTGAGCCTGATATGACCAATAATTTCAAGTGATCATGGAGGATTATAAGTTTGAGACCAGTCTGGCATCCATAGTAAGTTCAAGACCATCCTGAGATACATAGGAGGCTGTTCCAAACAAAACAAAGTAAAAGGTGTTATTTACTTGGTGAGATCCATCACCGACTATTAGGTTACTGAATTTCACAAATAAGTATACGTTGATATTTCTTTTTTTTTTTAAAGACCCCCCCCACCTTTGGTGTTTAGAGTTACAGTTTCTCTGTGTAGCCTTTGCTGTCCTAGAACTTGCTTTGTAGACCAGGATGGCTTTGGATTCGGATCGGCCTGCCTTTCTTTGCCTCTTTAGTGCTGGGATTAAAGGCATGTACCGTCCCTGTCCTAAAGATTATTTTTGTTTCTGTGTCTATGTATGTATGCACATGGGAGTTTGAGTACCCGAAGAGGCCATTTAAGAGGGATTTTCCAGAGCTAGAGTAGAGGAGAGTACTGGGAGGTGAAATTAGTCTTCTTCAATATCCTCTAATTATGAGCTATCTTTCTATCCCTGTTCCTTTTTTTTTTTTCTTTTCAATGACTTCACATTTATATGGGTATGGAAATGTCTTGATTTTTACTGTGCATACAGGTTTTATTCTCTAGACCTTGTAACCACAGTACTATAGATTTTGTTACAGTTTCTATTTTGAAAAAAAATTTCATGCATAATGTGTGTTTGTGTGTCTCTGTGTACATGTGGGAGTCAGGACAGCTTTGAAGTCAGTGGTTTTCTTATTCTTTATGTTTGAACTCTGGACACCAGGCTTGCATAGCAAGTGCTTTTTGCCCACTGAGAACTTGTTAGCAGGGTTTAATATCACACTTTTAATTAAATATTTCTCATTACAGGATGAAAGCTCTTCCACTACTAATCTCTGTGTAGAAGATCTTCAGAAAAATAAGGATTCAAATAGTATGATTAAAGATAGGTTGTCTCAAACTGTCAGGCAGAATTCTAAATCCTTTTTTGATCCAGTTCGGAAATGTAATGGACAGCCTGTACCTTTTCAACAACCGAAACACTTCACAGGAGGAGTGATGAGGTGGTACCAAGTAGAAGGCATGGAATGGCTTAGGGTAATGAATTGCTTTCTTTAGTCCTTTCTGTTGTTTCTGTGAGGGGCTGGGGTTTGCTCCACATCACATGGTAATATCAGAAGATGATTTTGTGGAGGCAGTTCTCTTCCACCTTTGTGGATTTTGACAGTAGGCTTTTATAGCAGACACTTATATCTTCTACGTTTGCCTTTCTAAACATTTTTATTATTATTAGTGCATGTATGATGTGTATGTGTTGGCTCATGTGCTGCTAAGGTGTGTGGTGTGAGGGCGTGTCAGTAACTTTGGAGTTGATTCTTTGTACCTTGAGGGGCCTGGGAATTGAACTCAGTAGCTGGCATGTGTAGTAGGGCTTTTATTTGCTGAGTACCCCCTTGGCACATTTTGGTTTTAAGGCAGGGCTTCTAGTCTGGCCTGAACTGGTGAGTCAGGAATGAACTCTTTCTTCAAGTGCTGGCTTTGTAGTCATGCACTATCAAACCTGGCTCAGCGTCATTGTGTGTGTGTGTACCTGAGTGCAGATGCTCTGCTCGCTGTCTCAGGAGCTTGTGCAGATTTGCCTCCTGTCTTTTTGTAGGAGTGCAGGGATTACAGATGCATGTGCACTACTGTGTCCAGCTTTTATGTGGGTTCTGAGTTTCCAAACTCAGAACCTGTACAGTAAGCTCCTCTCCCGCAGAGCCGTTTTCCCAGCCCTTGTACTGCCTACTTTGTACCCATGGTTCACCTTCCTCAGTGCTAGGATCAAAGGTGTGCCCTGCCATGCCTCATCTGGAGTTTTCAGGGTTTTTTTTTTGTTGTTGTTAAATTTATTTTATGTATATGAGTGCATGTATAGCTGTATACCAAGGGCACCACCAGATCTCATTATAGATAGTTTTGAGCCTCCATGTGCTTGCTGGCAATTGAGCTCAGGATCTGGAAAAGCAGCCAGTGCTCCTAACCACTGATCCATCTCTTCAGCCCCTGGAGTTGTCATTTTTGGTACTGCATATTGAGTCTTTTCTCTAGTAACTTAGTACCAAATTGTTCTATTTTAGTATAAAGAAAATATTTGTGTGTATTTTTTTTAAGATTTATTATATGTACGTGGGTGGTGTGCGTGTGTAACATGTATATTGAGCAGTGCAGAAGTCTTAGTTGCAGGTGATTGTGAACTACCCCACCAATGTAGGTGGTAGGATCTAAACTCGAATCCATTGGAAGAGAAGCAAGTGGTCTTAACTGCTGAGTTATTTCTCTAGTTCCTTATGTATATTTTCTGTTTTAAAATGAAAATTAACTTGTCAGACCTTCAGTACTTTATGGCCTTGATAAAGGACTTCTCATAATTTACAATTTATTTTATTATGTTGGATTTATAGTTTTGATTGTGTTTTTTTGAAAAAGAAGCCTTTGTTAATTCAGGAAATGTTTGCATTCACATTTACATACAGTGTATTCTTTTGTCCAGATGCTTTGGGAAAATGGAATTAATGGCATTTTAGCAGATGAAATGGGTTTGGGAAAGACTGTTCAGTGCATTGCTACAATTGCATTGATGATTCAGAGGGGGAGTACCTGGACCTTTTCTTGTTTGTGGCCCTTTGTCTACACTTCCTAACTGGATGGCTGAATTCAAAAGATTTACCCCAGAAGTAAGATATATTTTCTTATATTATTACTGTGTACGTTTTTCCTGTTTTGTTGCTTGAATTACAGATTACCACAGTAAGTTCATTTCCATTCACACTGGGATCTGATTTGACTTGCTAAATTTGAACATTACTATTATTTGGTTTATATACAGAATTGGCATTGGTAATTTGATACAGTTTGCTGAAAAGTTCCTTAGATTGTTTTGGAACAGACATATCTACATAAAAAAAATACTCTTGTCTTGTTTATTTTTCTGCTTGTTTTGTTGAGACACAGTTTCAACTCTGTAGCCAGTGTAGCCCAGCTGTCCTCAGATAGGTTTAGCCCAATCTGACCTTGGATTTGCTGCAGTCTTTTTTTTTTTTTGAGACAGGATTTTTCTGGGTTGCCCTGTTTGTCCTGGAACTCACTTTGTTGACCTGGCTGGCCTTGAACTCACTGAACTCATGAAATTCATGTGCCTCTGCCTCCCAAGTGCTGGGATTAAAGGCATGTGCCACCACTACCACCTCCTAGCTGGATTTGCTGCAGTCTTGCTTCCTCAGTCTCTTGCCTGCTCAACACGTCATGCTTATTTTTATCTTTAAAATAATTTAAAAATGTGCACCACATGTCTGCCTGGTGCTAATACAGGGCAGCAAATCCCCCTGGAACTGGAGTTACAACTTGTGTGCCATAATGTGGGAATTGGGAATGGAAATCATGTCCTGGAGAGCAGCAAGTACTCTTAACTGCTGTGTAGTATCTTCAGTTTCCTTGTGTTTATTCTTTTGTTGTTGTTGTTGTTGTTGGTTTTTGGGGCTCTTGAGGCAGGGTTTCTCTGGCTTTGGAGGCTGTCCTGGAACTCGCTCTGTAGACCAGGCTGGTCTTGAACTCACAGAGATCCGCCTGCCTCTGCCTCCCGACTGCTGGGATTAAAGGCATGCGCCACGACCCCCCAAGTCATGTTTATTCTTACAGGGATTTTTTTCCCCCAAATGTGTGCTATCTCCTCTCTTCCCTCAATAATACTGCTTCTTGTATATGTCAGTTCATTAAATAATGAGTTCTGGATTGCAAGAGATTTATTTTTGCACTATTTATAAGTGCTTGTTTTCAAGTTAAACACAAGTACTTCATACATATGCTATCTTATCTACTTCCTTGCCTTGAAAATATATGAGATGAATGTATTTCAGAAGTGGCTTACTTATTTGCCTCATAATTCTTGTTTTTTTGTGGGTTTAGGGGTGCTTTTTCTTTTTCTCTCATGTTAGTTAAATAATTTATTAAGTTAACTTATTTTGTCATAGAAAAATAGAACTAAAGTTATCTATTAGAAGGTGACTTGCTCTATATTTTCCAACTCATTTATATTTTGTCCTGAATCAATATAATCTCGTAGATTCCTACTATGTTGTATCATGGAACCCGGCAGGAACGTCGAAAATTGGTAAAGAATATCCACAAAAGACAAGGGACACTGCAGATTCATCCTGTGGTCGTCACATCGTTTGAAATAGCCATGAGAGACCAGAATGCTTTACAGGTACAGATGGTTGTAGTTCATGAGTCAGATTTTTAATTCATACTATTACCATCCAGCAGCATTTGTTTCATTGTGGTTGAAGTAATATACTTCACATTTCTTTTAGAAACTGGAGGCTTTCTGTAGAAAGATTGTGATGAAAGTTGTTGTTTATTAGTAGAATTGAGACTGGCATTTTAAACTGTGTCTATATTAAAATACTAGAATCAGCCACATATAAATCTGATCTGTAAATGTGTTGTACATAAATTTGAGACAAAGTAGTTGGGATTTGATGGTCAAGTTTTATTTAAATAAGAATAGAATATTCAGAAAATCATTTTTATGTTCTCTTTTGGGTCTGTGGATGATACTGTGTCCTTTTTATTGTACTACCTTCTTACTGATGTCCATGTTTTACAATGCAGCTAATTTGCCTTTTTTCACTAATCCATCTAAATTGCAGTAGTTCTCACTGCATTGCATTTTCTTCTGATCATGTAGTGTTCCTCCTGAGTGAGTTCCCTCTCTTCCTTCCTGCCCTCCCTCTCTCCCTCCCTCCCTCCCCTCTCCCCGTCCCGAGATTGGCCTCCACTGTACAGATCTAGCTGGCCTTGGATGCAAAGATTCACCAACCTCTGCCTCCAGAGTGCTGGGATTTAAGGTTTACATCACCACTTCACAAAAGAAACAAAGAAAGTAGCATGGTTTATAATGGATTCAATATGACATCAAAACACACAGCTTGTAAGAGGTGTGGTAATGTCTAGTGCACTGACAAGCGGTGTTTATCCAATGTTCCATTTGTGTATGTGGTACTGTTGAATATGATTTGGCAATAGCCATAGCTCCATTTAATAAAAATGTGTACCATTAAAAATTAGCAATATTTGTTGATAGTTTGATGTTTCTGTTTCCAAATTATGCCTATTTATGTATTGTTGTATTCAGGTGGATTTTATTTGCTTAATCAGCATAAAAGAAAGGACAAGTATTAAGTGAGAGGACAATTATTAGGACTTAAATACATGGTGTTTTTGAAAATATTAATGGCTAAATTTGGCTTCTGAGAATAGGAAACACCTAACATCAATGAAGGAAATTGTGGGAAGTTACCAGATTAAAAACAATATCAACTTTAGGCGGGAATAGTGGTGTACATCTTTAATCCAAGCAGAGGCAGATGGATCTCAATGAGTTTGAGGCCATCCTGGTTTACAGAATGAGTTCCAGGACAGCCAGAACTGTCCCAGAAAGCCAAAAAAAAAAAAAAAAAAAGAAAAAAGACAGAAAGTAGCATGTGGTCTCAAATTCCCAAAATGCTTTAAAATTTTGGAACAAGCTGGTCTTGGTGTTTCACTGGCACCCAGGAGGCATAATCAGGTGAGTGGATCTCTGCAGTCCAGGATATCCGGGGAAACATAGAGATGCCCCATCTAACAAAATAGTAAAACATAATGAAACCAAAATTTGTCTGGTGGCGGCGGCAGTGGCTTTGTCCGTCGGCGCACTCCTTTAATCTCAGCAGTCGGGAGGCAGAGGCAGTAGGATCTCTGTGAGTTCGAGACCAGCCTGGCCGACATGAGGTAGTTACAGGACAGCCTCCAAAACTGCAGAAAAACCAAAAAAAAAAAAAAAAAACAAAAAACAAAAACTCGCCAAATTTTGGAGTACATGTGACTAAGGAAGATTTCTTTTTTCCTTCATTACTCTATTACTATTTTGATACCAGTTTTCTAGAACTCTAATGTCACATGGCAAAGCACCAAGGGGAAAAGCTAAACCTGATTTGACTTCAGAAGAGTGAAAATATTAACACAGGACATCTGAGGGATTTCCAGTGAATTATATTCTAGAAACATAATTGGCCCAGGTTTATGAATTTAATTATTATGACAATAGAAGAAAAGAATAGTCCCAGGAGATAGTAAAATGACATTTGATGCAATTCAATAAATATTTCTTATAAGAGAAGTCTTAGAGTTAAGTGTTTTTCAGGAAAAAATTATGAGATTGATCCTTAAAATTTCTTTCCTCGATTCATTTTCTAGCATTGCTATTGGAAATACTTAATAGTAGATGAAGGACACAGGATTAAGAATATGAAGTGCCGGCTAATCAGGGAGTTAAAACGGTTCAATGCTGATAACAAACTTCTTTTGACTGGTACTCCCTTGCAAAACAATTTATCAGAACTTTGGTCATTGCTAAACTTTTTGTTGCCAGATGTATTTGATGACTTAAAAAGGTAGGTAAGGCAGTTACTTGTTTTCTGCTTTTTTTTTTAAAACCATATAAGTCTGTGTTCTTAGCTGAAACTTACTCCTTTCTTTTTGGTAGCTGCACTTAAGTGATATTTTAGCCAATTCTTTGTGTTCTATATTAGTGCTTTCTACGTTTGACAGAATATATATGTGAGAGAAATTAAAGATTTAAAGCAGTTTGATTAAAGGCAAACAAAAAAAATCCCTTAGGAGGTTGGGAAATGGCTCAACAAGTGAGGGCAGCAAGTCTGAAGGCCTGAATCAGTCTTGAAAGCCTGCACCAGTGGGAGGAGGCAGTGGCTTCTGCAGTTTGCTTTTCTGTCTTCCTTCCTGTGGTGTGGCTCACGTGTACACCCCTTCCACAGATAAGTAATTTTACATTTACAAAAAAGGCATACCTTAAAATGTTTCTCCTAAAGAAAAACAGTCAAAACATGAGCTTTTAAATACTCATGAGAGCATAAGACTTTATCTTAGCTTTCTAAAATACTTCCATGTGAATAGTTCCATTTTACAGGATAGCCTAATCAGATGAAGAGCTTTCTCTGTTCTTTAGTTCATATAAGGAAACCTGGGTAGAAGTTGTTAGCACCAGAGAAAACTTTAAAATTTCCTATTTCAACCCAATTAATACTTTTGCTGTTTATATATTTGAATTTCAAATTATATTTTCAAAATCTTAGTGTTTTCAGAATGGAAGAAGATTATATTAGTAAGAATTAATGTGAAGTCATCCAGGCGGTCGTGCACGCCTTCAATCCCAGCACTCAGGAGACAGAGGCAGGCGGATCTCTGTGAGTTCTAGACCGGCAGCCTGGTCTACAAAGCTACACAGAAAAACCCTGTCTTGAAAAACAAAACAAAGCAATGTGAAATAAAGCAGAAGATTGAGTATAAAACATGATACTTATATTGGCATTATTGTGAGAAGAAAGCTAATTGAATGGGAAACTTGGCCTTTTATTTTGAGAATACATTCTAAGTCTGACTTTTAATCTCTGGCATAAAGCCAGGCTCTTACTGTGCTGGTACATACTTTTATAAAAGGATAAACTTACAAAGATCTATGATTAAGAGCATCAAGTACTAGTTGAAAATCTTAATTTTAAAACCACACATCAGGTGGTCTATATTTGAGAGTATGTGATCTACTATATGAATATCTTATATGATCTCCCATTTTTAACAAGGGAAGGATATATAATATATCCTTTCTTCAGCTTAATGTTATAGTTATATTGAACTTAAAATCCTTGGACTGTTATGTGTGGTAGTAGTGTATGCCCGTTATCCCTGTGCCGAGGAAGGAGGATTGAGAATTCTAAGCCAGCCTAGGCTATGAAGTCAGACACTCACTAAAACCCAAAGGCTTAGGATTTAAGTTGTTGGTATGGAAGGTCCTCTGTGCCTGCCTTAGAATCACAACTAATCATGCATGTATATGTAACAACCATTTGTTAGATTTATACCATGCAGCCTTGGTTTTCAAAAAGCATTGTCACTTCTATAACTATTCATGAATATTTCATAAAATAATGTACTTTGGACTGCAGATGTAGTTCAGTGAATCAGTGAAAAAGTTCTGCTGAGCATACTTGAAGCCCTAGTTTCTATTCTTAGGAAAAAGCAAATGAGCAAAAACCAAATTATTCCATAATCTATATTTGACTTGTATTTGATTATGTCTTTTAGAAAAAAATATCCCCTTCAAAACAATTACTCTTCATTGAATACAGATTTTAATTGACTTTAAAAATTACTTCTTGAATAGTTGTTGGAACATTGTTGCTTCTTTGTAATACACAAGCTAATATGAATCGAAGCTGTGTATAGTGACACATGCCTGTAATATTGGCACTAGGGGGCAGGGAATTTAGGGAGTTTAGTAAGATCAGGAGTTCGTGATCATACTTGGCTATGTAGTGAATTTGAGTTCAACCTGGGCTAAATGAGACCCTAGCTATCTTAAAACTCTAAAACAAAACAAAAAAATAAATAAAAAACTGAAACTATGAAATTTTAAGCATGTATTATGTTAGTATAATTAAATTTATGTGGTGAGTTAACTTATAATCCTTTTTTTTTCTCTAGCTTTGAGTCTTGGTTTGACATCACTAGTCTGTCTGAAACTGCTGAAGATATCATAGCTAAAGAAAGAGAACAGAACGTTTTACATATGCTTCACCAGGTGCCGAATCTGTTTATTCTGCTTACTTCATACTTAACAAAATAAATAAGGAATTCTAGAGTCTTAATCTCTGTAGTAGTAGAGATTTGAATGAGTTACCCTGAATTTAATTGTTTTTTTCACTACATTGACTTGTCACATGGATTTATGGCAGAAACTAAAAAACTTA